CAGGAATGTGGCTTCGTCTTACCTCGACTATGAGATCTCAATCCATATTGTGATCTTTTGTCAGGAGGCATTGAACTGCAGGTGTCTCCTTCAGCGTCCTCTGACTTGTACATCATTGCCATTGACATCTTTTCAGATCTATGATCAGTGTCTTATGTACAAAGTGTTGCAACGAACCGCTTTTATGAGCTCAAATGTGTTGCTGATTCAGCAAAGACACAAGCTTTCTTCCTGTGTGAAATTACAGTATATCAGGCCCTTCATGTACTTTAGTGTGTGACTCTACTGAGACCCATTGGGGTTTTCATATTAGCTTATACACTTTGCAGGCTGGATGTTGAGGCTTCAGGGCACTGAAGTGGCACATCTTTTAATAACATGTGAGACTGTCCCCCTCTAGAGGCCTAAAGGTGCGCTGAACACTCAACAAAAACCTCATAAACCCTCTGAAATATTCATTTAATTTAGAAAATCACACTTTCCTACAATTTCAGAAGCTAACTACTTGACCAACCCTCCAACCCTGTTCACTGAACATGCCGAGGCTTGTTCAGCTTAACCAGCAGTAGAAAAACAGGAAGGACTTTTTTCCTTTAAACTCTTATGACACCAGGTCTTAAGAGGTTAATCTGCAGTTGGGCCAAAAAAAGATAACAACAGTGCATTTTACTGGAACACAATGCAATGTGGGAGTTCACATTTCCTTGCTAACTTGAGGTAAACCCTTAAAAACTGTGTACGTGAGAAATGACTTCCTCAGTTTACAACACTGTTTCTATGAGATGCTGTCACATACATTTGGCCTAAAATATTCATACTAATGCAGAATTTTGATTTATAATGTATTTGACCAGTATATTTCTTCTGGTTGGGAATGACACAAACACATAACAGAATGAGGTCACACGTTGTGTTACTGATAGAACGGATAAGTTTCTATGTTTAGCATTATTTTGGTCATGGCTAATATTTATACCTTCTCTCAACTCCTCAAAACAAACAAATAAATATCCATTGTTGTCTTCTAAATGTGTTCGTAGTTTACGTTAGAATAAAACTTTCAAGCTACTCTTAACCCGATTGTTTAG